CCTTTTCATTCTTAAAATGACCAAATTCATTATAAGACTTGAGATCATGTGAGACTAAGGGTTTTCCGTGAGACTAAGGGTTTTCCGTGAGACTCGTAAAACCAATTTTCAACCTTTGGATTAGATCTACAATCTAAACATTCATAATCACAAAATTGCCACGAGATTTCTCAATAATCACAAAATTGTCACTGTGCAACTTTAAACCATTAAATTTTTAGCTTATAAAGTTGATCAATAAACATAAATTGGTCTTACGGGTCTTATAGAAAACTCTTGGTCTCACGTAAACCCAACCCTTCATTATAATATATAACGATTTTTTTGAAAGGTAATTTTTTAAAGAAAAAGAAGAACTACAAAAAAGGCGTCGAAGGGGATATACAAGACATTAAAAAACATCTCAACGGCTATTAGAAACCCGACACAAAAGAGGACTAGGAAAAGATAAAAACCAACAGCAGACTAAAGCCAAAGCAGGAAGAAGAGGACTCAAGCGACTGTGATAAAAGGGTACAGAACCGAAACCGGAGAAACTTGATAAAGTGTACCTCGAAGAAATCCAATTGAAAGACTGGAATTGGATGTCACTTAGGAGATCAATGTTTGAGTCGACTCCTTTAAAGATCCGAAAATTTCTAATTCTTCAAAGAAAGTAAACGACAATCCAAATTACTGATTGCAAGTTGAAAGATGCCATTTAACGATTTAATTGCATATGATATACTCTTTTATAATACTGAATAATAAACAATCTTCTAAACCTCTGATATTTATAGATTAACCCATCTTTTCAACTATGTATGATGCATACACAAGACACTCCTGTCTTATTGCGACATGATAAGATTGATCACATACGTGTCATAGTACAACCTTTTGCCATTTCAATCGGGTTGTCTTTGTACATTTTCACTTTGATTTTGACCTTTGAAGAATTTTCGAAAGAGCCCTGTCGTTTTATCTGGATGTCTTTCTCAACTTTTAAATGGCGAATTATTTTTACAATAAGACATTTGTACCTTTCAAGCACAAAGAATGTATAATAAAAACGGTTTATGGATTATCGCTTTCAAAGAAGCCTTGGTAGGTCATTTATTGGAGATATTTCTCGATTTAAACATTAGTAAGAAGCCGACAACTAACGGTTAATCTCCATTTACTTGGAATATATTGTATGATCATTTTTACTCAGTTGTATATATATATATAATAATCTGGTGTTTACAATGTGTCTTTATGGAAAAAATTTATCAATCTCAATTTCATTTATAGATGCCTATTATGTACAAAAGAAATTTGTATGTTTTATATATATATATATATATATATATATATATATATATATACTAGTTGTGTACCCGCACAATGCGACGGGAGCCATGAATTTTAACGATTTTGAAGTTCCACTGGTTTTGTAAGATAAGATTTAATGATGATAATAGGTTACACTTGGTTTTTACATATTAATACAATTTGAATAAATAAGAGTTATGGTTCCAATTACTGACTATCGATGAAAAAAATTGTATGACAGTTTAATATCCAATATATTTAAAATCCAATATATTTAAACGACTCCATAAATGTATTCGATTTACACCAAGAGCAAAGAACCAAGAAACTTGAGTTTTAAGATAAACACTCAAAACCAATAAAGAAAACTACAAATTTGACAGATCATAAGCCATGAAAAAACAAAAAAAGATGGGTTTGAGAATGAAATTTCAACTGTTTACCCTCTTTCTTGTCCAGAAACTTAGATTAAGATTGAATTAATACATGTATATATATATATATATATATATATTTCAAAAAAAACCCAAGAACATATTAATTCAAAACATATTATACAGTACAATTTGGACAGCCTAACCCCAAAATATATAATATATATATAAATAAATAACTATAAAAATATAAATCGTAAATATTAAAAATATTTTTTTCACAGTATATATAATATATAATAATATAATTAAGTAAAAAACTATTCAGTATTGGACTCATTTCGAAGGTATTAACGAGACGATTATAATGGTGTAACTTCTTAAAATAAAAATGTATTTTTTAAACATGTTTTAATTGATATACGATTATGTATGCTAATTTGATAAAGCTTTAAAATGAAACATTTAAAAGTAAAGGACGTAACTAATTTGATAAAGCTTTAAAATGAAACATTTAAAATTAATTAATGGGAAAATTGTACCAAAATGGAACCAACTTGCACCTGATTCCTATTTTGGGGAACCAACTTTCAAAATCGTCATTTTGGGGAACCAACTTGCACCTGATTCCTATTTTGGGGAACCAACNCAACTTGCACCTGATTCCTATTTTGGGGAACCAACTTTCAAAATCGTCATTTTGAGGAACCAACTTGCACCTGATTCCTATTTTGGGGAACCAACATTCAAAATCGTCATTTTGGGGAACCAACTTGCACCTGATTCCTATTTTGGGGAACCAACTTGCAAAATCGTCATTGTAGGGAAGCAACTTGCACCTGATTCCTATTTTGGGGAACCAACTTGCAAAATAATTATAGAAAAATAACTAAAATTCATTTTTTTTCCAAAAATTAATGCAATAAAATCTATTTTTCATTTCACGTCTTTTTTTTAATTCAGATATCAAATTAAACATTAAAAAAATCCAAATTACCACAATAAATATTATTAAATTTATTAATGCAAAAAAATCAATTTAATAGAAAAAAATTAATTGATACGGATTGGATAGATATAAAAATCTTGAATGTGATATTTAATATTTATTGCATCAATTGATTTTTTCTATTAAATTGATTTTTTTTTGCATTAGTAAAAAACAATTTTTATTGTGCTAATTTGATTTTTTTTAAATGTTCAATTTGATACATGACTTAAAAAAACGAGATTTGAAATGAAAATTAGATTTTATTGCATTAGTTTTTGGAAAAAAAACGAATTTTAGTTATTTTTTTATAATTATTTTGCAAGTTGGTTCCCAAAATAGGAATCAGGTGCAAATTGGTTTCTCAAAATGACGATTTTGAAAGTTGGTTCCCCAAAATAGAAATCAGGTGCAAGGTGGTTCCCCAAAATGACGATTTTGAAAGTTGGTTCGCCAAAATAGGAATTAGGTGAAAGTTGGTTTCATTTATGTGCAATTTTCCCTTAATTAATTAATTATAGAGGTATAAAGTGTAAATTTAAAATTATAATTTAAAAAAAATTGGTTGTGAGAGAGTGAGTGTATGTGAGAAGATGGGGGGGTGAAAAAATGAAAAAATGAATATAAAGGGTATTTTGGTCATTTAGAATTTTAAGACTTTAAGATTTTTGCTAAATTTGTTTAATAAAATAATATATATATATATATATATATATATGCTTTCTATTTATATTCAATGAGATATTGCTATTAAAAAATTTACATTCATATTAGATAAAGAAAAATAATATATATGTATATATTAGTATTATATAACGAATTTGTTTTCACATATTCAAAATAAAACTCGTAAGGCTTTACAACATCATTTTAACAGTGAGTTCGTATATGTGTGAATCCATGAAATAACGTGTGATGTGTTCAGATAAATCTGTAAAAGTGTACATCTAATGTTACATGTGTACAAACACAAAAACTAAAAAATATTAAGTTTTAAAATAATTGATTTCTTTTGAAAACGTCTCTTGCAAAAAACACATGACATACACGCCATGACGTTAGCCATGCCTTACACGAACACTATAGATCTTATCATAATGATGGAAACACATGTATAATAGTGATGAGCGTCAAAAGGATGCTTCTTTTAAGAATATCATTTTTGCGCAGTATTTCTAGCGTTGTGAAAAACTTTTACAGGGTTTTTATGTATAAGATAAACAAGTCTGACAATAAACTTGATAAGTATTATAAATAATAGTATATCTAAATAGAGACAATGACAAGTTCCGTTGGGAACCTAGAATTGATTAAAAATTTAGGAACTACCCTCCAACACGACACATGACATATTCAGGATGAATATGAACGTATTATTTATCATGAATATGTTATTCATTATGAATATTCATCTTAAATAGAATCACATGTCACACTATGGACGGTTCCTAAATTTCTAATCAATTTTTTGGGTTCCTAACGAAACTTTCCTCAATCTAAATAAAAATAAATTATTAATAAAAATTGGAAAATAAAAACATGTGGCAAGTGATTACAGTTTGAAGTGAGATGGGCAACAGGATATTGGTGACACCCCCACACCAACTCCATCCAATACTTGCAAATCAAGTGGAACATCAACATGCCTTTTGGATTTTTGTGTTTATTTCTTTTCTAAATGTAAAACAAAGTGCATGCTTATTATTGTTTTTATTCTTTGTCTTGAAGGCATGCTATATATAATTCTGTATAGTTTTAATAGTTAGGGGTCGTTTACCAAACGCTTATCCGGGTAAGTACTTACCAAGTCACATTATCTTACCGGATGAATATGACAAGGACCAAGAATCTTACCCCATAAGAACGAAGACAAGGACCAGGAGTCTTACTCGGTAAGTGATGGTGACAACTCTTACCACGGTTAGCTCTTACCGGGCAAATTGTTGTATATGATGCCGTGTTGGTGGACTAAAATCTTACCCGGTAAGTATGTGATGGTGTTGAATTTTATCGTTAAACGCTTACCGAACAAGTGTTTGGTAAACGGCCCCTTAGTCTTGATCTGCTGTTAGGGCTATTATTTGATTTTCTGTAACGAGATTTAAAGGGGACTTACATATGCATATCTTGACAGCTCGATTACACCAAATTTACATAAATTTCATTTCTGTACAAATAAAGAATGATTCTGATCTTGGAGCATCAACTTAGGCCATTAAAACATGCTACAACTTCTACCACTTTTCAATCTTCATCGGTTATACGAAGTCCAAACTGAGGAACCGAAAAGGGGGGGGGGGGGGGAGGGGTTGGTGATGGGTGAGACCTGTTTCAATCAGCTTCTACTTTCTGTTATTTGTAGCCGTAACAACTGCTGGTCTAGGCGGTATTTCATTCCATCCATCCGGAAGAAGGCAAGAATAAAGACAATCTTCAAAACAGACAAAATTACGAAAATTTTACTTTCAAGATTAATGAAATTAGTAACCATCATGTAAGAATCTGTAAAGAAATGATGAAAACTGTGATTCTTACTGATACGTGCGAGTCGATTGATCCAACCAGGGATTGATTTCTTGATCATCTTTCGACACGCATCATTAGTGAAGTGATTGCAGTTCCTGTAAATAATGTTGTAACTGTTGCCAGGATACTCCTTTGCCAATTTCTTTATGAATTGTCGGCATTCTTCTTCGTTCATTTCTGTTCTACCTATCAAAATAGATTTCCTTACCGGTAAACCTTGGAACTGTTTTGGCTCCAGTTTCACTATCCCAGGTCTCGAGCTGTCGCTACCACCAAATGCGTACTCGACCCCATAAACTGTCCAAACTAACAAATCAATGATCTACCAGATACATTTCAGATCGAACAATCTACCAACAGTACATAAAACTTTCTGGGTGATCGATAGAAAGAACATGAAAATGCCCAAAAAACATGCTAGTATATATAACATTGATCGATCTTAGACAAATTTTGGAGATTAAATGCTAAAAAATACGAAGAACGGGTGTATGAAGGATATTGCATCATCAAATTGAACTATAGATACATTTCTGCAGGATCTCCTCTTAGAAAATACAAAAAGGATCACCACTTTCTGCAAAAATAAGTGAGATTAGATTCATAAAACCTGCCAAATCCAATGTTTTTTTCTTGCATTTATCTGTTTTCAATCCGTCCAAACTCATTTTCTTGCAAACTATGGGTGTTTTTTTGGCCTTTTCACAAGAACAATGGTTCAAAACCTCAATGGCTCTTTAACTGATCAATACATGTCAAAAGAAAGTCGACAGTTGACTTTTAGAGTGTCAAATTAGTTCACTTAAAGGTCAAAATTAACATTAATTAATTAGATTGTGAGGGGGCAAAAGATGATTAATATCAAACTATGTATGCACTGTTTGAAGATTATAGAATCAGAAACAACAACACCAACTTGAATTGAATTATCAAAATCAAACAACAAAAGGGATCAAGAATGCATCAAGAATATAAGAAATAGAAAAGGTAATGGTCAAACCTTGAAGGCCAGAGTGATAAAATCCAAAGCCGAACCAATATGCGTAACGATTGATAGGCATAAGATCATACACATTCACATAGACAGGAGTCCCTGTATTCTTTTTCTTGCGAATCATTCCACACAACATTTTTCAAGATTCCCAAACAAACCCCTTACGATTCGCATAAAACCCACCAATTTCTTTTTTCAAATTCTCCCCTTTTTCTCTTGTTCTAAATTCGATTGCTCGAATTTTCCAATAGGGTTTGTGGGGAAATTTTCAGAAGAGCTCCGAAACACACCCTTTTGAGTACGCATAACAACCCCACAAAAAACCCCCCTTTTCTGAGTTTCAAAATTCGTCGATTGAGTTTGATGTTGGGGTTTGTGGAAAATCAATTTCAAAAAGTTCCCAAACAAACCCTTTACAGTATGCATCATCCACCTTCATTATCTGTTTATTCTTTCCAAGGGAGGAAGCGGAATGTTTCAAGAGAATCGGAGGAACCTGAGGAGGCAAATGGGTTGTCATTTGCTATTTGCAAATTATTCACTTTTGGTCCCTCAATTTTAAGCTTTTAAAAAACTAGGCAACTCGTCTTAATAATAGTACAAAACCAACCAAATATTTCGCAAAAATAACAAAATAGTCCTTTGTAGGTTTTCAATCCAAAAACATATAAAAGGTGACTCTATTACTAACGACTCAAATAGTCTGTCGACGTTGCAAATGTGCAAATTTATTAACTTTTCTTTTGTTTCACATGAAAAATTAATTGAATCATAAAATATTATAAGCAGAAAAATCATAACCATTACCTAGAAGAAGCAAAAAACCAACTTCCAAATCCAAAGAGTTGAAAGATCTATCTCAACCTACTTTGCAGCTAAAATTACAAGTGAAACAAGCACAAGGCACACAAATATTTAAAATAGTAGTGTCAAACATTTTCTTCGGTGACCAATGGGTCTTTGGTCTAGCGGTATATGAGTCTTTTGCCTCCTAGGAGGTCAGGAGTTCAAATCTCACCAAAAGTGAGGTGGGTGTATGAGTTTATTTGTTCTATTTGCCGTATATAAATATTATATAGTTTAAAAAAACATTTTCTTCGGTGATTGATTTTTGTTATTGTTAATTTTCTTATTTGAAAAAATTCAAAAAATGAACATTTTATATTTGTTAAGAATATATAAAAGAACATGTTACTTGAATATATTACTATTTTACTTTGGGTATGAAATAGATGTTTTAAAACTTCAGGGGCCTTTTGGTAAATTAAAATGAATAGAACTTTGAACGGAAAAGAAAAAGGAAATTTAGAAAATTTAGGCGGCCATTCGTAAATTTTGGAATTTGAAAAGAAAGGTGGGTCAAAAGCGGTTGGTCCGAACGCGCCGAAAGTCTGCCCCGTTGTGTGACAAATCCACCCACTCCATTGCTGTTGCTCCGAACCCATGGACTTTGGCCCAACCTCTAGTCTAATCCAGGATGGGCTCAAGCCCAACAGGCTAAGCTCAATTTATAAAATATGAATATGAGTGGTTTTGTTCTCAACCGAAAATGCGGCCCATGCCTGAATTGGGTGAACTCCACTGTCGGTTTCATGTTGTTTCTTGTCGTTCTTTCAGTTCCCCTCAATTACTAAGGAGTTGTTTACTAAACGTTTATCATGGTAGCATTTATCTTAACACATGAGCACGACAAGGATCCAGAATCTTACAGGATAAAATTAAGAACCGAGACTCTTACCTGGTTACCTACATTCCATTTTAATGGCCGATAAATATAACTCGATATGATAAAGTGACATCAATCACTCTTGCCGGTAACTGCTTAGCAAATGACTCTAACTTGTATCACTTCGTACTTCCTACTATGTAAATACACAAAACCGAATAATATCTAACCAGTATTCGTAGCAAAACCGGCCCAATAATGGATTTTTTCCCCATTGCCAGTGTTGATCAACACCGCTTATGGCGGGAATTATGCAATCGATGGCCGTAGGATTGTCGTTGCACTAAAAAATCCCACCAACGAACTTGTACACTCAAACTAAGTTGTTGTTTGTTTTTTACGAGATGCTGAAGTCTGAAGTATTATTTTACTTCTGATTGATAAGAGATGGTGCTGAAGTCTGAAAGTAGATAATCAATAACACCATTTGTTTTTATAAACTGATAAATGTCTGAATTTGTTTAAAGTATCTATTTTACCCATCATAATATCGTAGTGTGCAATGTATATATAAATTTATATAGTTTCACATATTTATTCACCATCATTACGAAATTTACATCTAAATTATAAACTTTTAGCAATCCTTTAAACGAAAATATGCCATTGATGGTATAAGCACATTTGAATCCTATTCCCTCAATTGATTCAAACACTACGAAAAATATGAACAAAGTTCTGTAGCAACTAAAATCCTTATCAAAGGTCCATCATAATCATGTCATGAAATTAGGGACAACAGATAACACAATAGAAACAAATATCTGAACGAAGAACGATGACATTTTATTTATTTCAATCTACAAAAACTTGGTGAAGATAGATGATAGACAGATGAGATCAATTAACATAGATTGAGATCAACAACCTGTGATAGATTGAGACCATGGACGAATTTAGGTTAATCAATTGAGAGGTGAGGATCAATTTGGTAAGGAATGATTAAGGTTAATCGACTGAGAGAGGAGCAATTGAGAAACACTAATGCTGATGGTCTGAAAACAATAAGAGGCAAATAAGGAATTGAATTACCTCTTATCAAATAAGAGGATGATAAGACATAAGTGTCTCTGAAAAATTGAATGAAATAAATCGTCTAAACTTTGAATAGCCCTAATCAGATATAAAAGGTTGATAAGAGTTTTTTTTAAACAAATAAGACCTAAGTTTACAAGGACATGTTAATTTGTATTTTAAATAGAAATAGATTGCCTTCTTGTTAAATCTTCTATTTGATTAATATTTTAATTAAAAAAATAAATAAAAACAAAAAAAAAATTATTCTTTTTAATTTTTGAAACTCATATCGATATTATTTTTTAATCGAGCTTATTTTATTGTTTAACGTGTATATTTACATGTAAATATATATTACAATCACATGAAACCTTGTATCATATAAGTGCATATTATTCATTTATTTAAAAAAAAAATACATTAAATGAAGTCAATTAATTTGTAGCGTTCACTTATTATGCATATTTAATTATTAGATATATTCATTGATGAATAGACAGCGAACATCATTTGAATTTGATGATGCAAAAGTTAAAGCTTGTACCTGAAATAGATGGTGTTCATGTTCCAATATGTGTACTTGACTTGTAGCATAGTTAAAATAATTAGTGAATTGCTATAATGAAGAAGAGATCTGGCAATAATTTCGGTCGGTGTCGATGGAGATCGCTTTTACTCATCATGCATGTATTAGTAGTTGAAACGGGTGGTCGGTTAGGAGCCAAATAGGAGAGACAAAAACAGATGTTAAGCGCCGAGTTACGAAACGCTTTAAATTCATTCCTAGTTCTCAGCTTGAACTTTATACATATACATATACACTATATATGTATCTTTAAACAGTTACTAAACATAATCTGAAAGCAATAATTTTGACTATGATTAATAATATTTCATATATAATAAAATAATATAAACTTATATATTATTTATATTAGTGTAGACAAAAATAAAAATGAAGGCAGTATCACATGCAGAGATCTGTGACCATTAAAATAACACAATGGAAAGGGACCCCCTTTAATCAACAGATATTGAAATCAAAGACCTCATTAAACAATCCACACCATGCATGTTTCTATCCAACAATCTCCTACAAAGAAACCAACCAATTCTGCCTTCAATTTCAACTTCAACTTCAAAATCAAACTAAATCTTATTTCTTTTCTTAAAAATCAACTCTTGCCAACAAACCTTTACACCAAAATCTTTAAAACTCAACAAATTTGTAATAATAATAATAATAATAATAATAATAATAATAATAATAATAATAATAATAATAATAATAATAATAATAATAATAATAATAATAATGCCAGCATTATTGATCATCCAGTCAAGAAACAGGGCAATCAAACACCTTACAGTAGCAAAAACACGCCATAATTTCCAGCAGTCGATGCTAATACCAACCAACTAATTATCGTTACACTTTCTAATTGTTGAAGATGGGTTTTTTCTTGATGACGAACTTGAAGAACGAGCGGTTAACGGAGGTTGAGGTTTAGATGCTGATGCAAACCTGCTTGAATGGCTTCTTAGCTTCTTCTCGGTGTTTGAACCGTCTTCTGCTCTAATTTGTCTCACTTTTGTCTCGTTTAGACCGGCAGGAAGAACACAGTTGCAAAAAAAACCTTCAAGTGTTCATACAAATCATAAGTAGGATCAAACTTTTTACTGTATTAGCAGCACAAGTTGTGCCCAATATGCTTGGATAATTGAGCACCATAATGATGAGTAAAACAACTAAACAAGATCCATATTTTGCGTTTAATATCATAAATTTAGATGCTTCTTTAACATAAAAACCTAAGCTTGATTCATGGGGTCCCTTGTAATTATATAAATATGTAATCATGTGCCTCGGTCAACTAAATTAGCCACAATTATATCAAGAAACTAATTAATGATGTTAACCCGAAACACATCACTGGCAGGGAAAGGAATAAAAATTTACAAAGATAATCAGACTTGAACACAAAAGTCAAACTTTTTTCTTCTTCCCTGAGTCAGAAGGAATTACGAGCAAAAGTCCAATGAAGGTAGCATCATCCATATAACTAATATATCCATACGAAAATTACAAAGGTTTTTCGTTTTCAGAAACTTTTCAAGTTATAACTAACTATATGTCACCCCGGATCTTAGCAAAGTTGGTTCTGGGGTGGTATCCATTGTGATTTAATCCCCCTAGGATTCCAAAGGGTATTTTAGGCATTTGATGAATGGTTAAACGGTTTCTTAACACTGTGTATAATTGAACTTGAAGGTAGCAGGCTGGAAGTTATAGTTTGCTTGCAAAATTCGAACTTCTAAAAAGGGGAGGAAATCGCTTTCAAGGCAAGTTCAATCAAAAGTTGAGCAAATTTTATGAATCTTGAAATGCACTCATCTAAAAGATGCGACAATAAAGAATAGCTCAATTCTTATTAAGTATTGAACTACTGACTTTAGAATCCTAGAGATTGATTTATGTCAATAAACCAAAAGCTATGAGAGAAATAATGAGTCAAAAGAATGAAAAATGATATGGAATTTGGGATCTTACCAAGGCGAGCCAATCGGTTGACCCAACTAGGAATTGGCCTTTTGGTTAACCTTAGACACATATCATTGCAGAAGTGATTACAGTTTCTGGTTATGAGATTATAACTGTTTCCTGAGTACTCTGCTGCCAATTTTTCAATGAATGCACGAACCTCTCTTGGACCAAAATCCGTTCTCCCTATCAAGATTGATTTCCTGAATGTAAAGCCAGGGCATTTTCTTGGCTCCACTTCAAATATCCCTGTTGTCGAATGTTCATGCGCACCAAATGCATATTCTACACCATGAACTGCCAAAAATCAAGAATCATATCGTCACAATCATGATAAGAACAACCTAATTAGTAGCTATGCTCTTCGGGGATGGATTATGCTTACAAACTGCAACCTAAGATTATCTTTTTAGAATGGTTATATGGAACCCAGAAAAATGGCCATACACACAAGCAATGACATTATAAAATGGTTCTTTTCAAACCATGCTACTTGGTCTTTTGAAAGAAAAACTACTCCCTATTAGAATGAGTGATTTTGGAGAAGAGGTGCAAAGCTTGAACCTTTTTTCTCTTTCTTTTTTCCCATTTATATTTCCACAACTTGTCCAAAACCGTTGGTTGTTTTTTCACAAAAGCGAAATGGTTAGCTTGCTACGAAATGTCATCAGAAACACCATTAGAAATCCTCCATGAGCACTGAATATCTAGGCAAAAGAAAAATCTTTCTCAACAATTAATAAAAAAACAAGATGACACCTATTATCATCTTTTGTTTCCCCAACAACAAACCAGCAGAGTAAGGTTCTACATTTGATTGGGATTTGTTAGAGGGATAATCACATTGAACAAATTAAAAAATACTACAAAATAAAGAAAAACACATTCTAAAGGGTAACCCCCAACCCCAAGTGCACCAATGCTCATCGGGTTTGGACAGTATTGGCAAAGTGGCTAGAACACATTACTTTCAGGTCCCTAACCAGTGGCTCGACGCTGATCCCATAAGAGGAAAGTAAAAGTACTTGCAAAGATCATCCTATTTGACTGCTAAACCAACAGGGTCAAGTAAAAGCAAACCAAGAATCAGATGTTCTTAATAGTAAGAAAGTCTTGGAGTTGTTTATTTAGACCGTGGAATTGGTCCAACTAGTCCATAATCTCATGCACAGTGGCAAATTATAGGCCTTCCAAGCAATAGGCTAGAAAAGAAACTATAACATAGCAATAATTGAATTGAGACCTCAAAGTCTTGCAGTTATTGGAAAGAAAAACAAAAAATTGAAACTTTGCAGTTATTAATCCAATCTTCAGAGCAATCAAATGAAAGGGTTACATATATATAAGAAAATTTGAAGAGCACAAACCTTGAACACCAGAGTGATAAACACCAAGGCCAACCCAATAAGCATAACCATTGATGGGAGTGAGATCATATACATTCAAATATACAGGAACAGTCCCTGTCTTCTTTTTTCTAGGAATCATCCTACACAACATCTTCATGCTTCCACCCACAAAAATTCAATCCTCTAAATTTATATTCAATCCAAATGTGAAAATCTTGGAAATTTTCTCACTGTAGAGCATAGATAAATCCCACAAAATCTCTAAACACTTCCTTTCGAAAACGATGGATCTTCAATTGGATTTGTAGAAAATTCTCAACATCCGAACAAACCCTTTCACCCTTTGTAATATACCTCCATCAACACAAAACCCACAAAAATTTCAACGAAAAGATTGATATTTCTTATCGGGTTTGGGGATTTCAAACTTTTATGACTTCCCAAACAAGCCCTCTAAAAGCATGCCACCATTTTCCCAAAACCCACAAAGAAAACCTCACTTTCCCTCTCTGGAATTCGAGAAATGGGAAGATTTCAAGGTAATCAGAGGAATTTGAGGAGGGTAGATTGGGATTCGAATTGTGGTTCGCTTTTCTTAATAGAAAATGAATCCCATACTTTAATCTACATACAGAAGTGGATGTTGAGAAGAAATTAGGGGAATATAATTTGACTGCTTAGGTACCCATCGGCGGCTCCTACTAAACAACTTTTATTTGAAGAAACTATGCTTTTTTGCTTTGCTTTTGGTTGCTTTGGGGATAATAGAATCTGAATCGTATTTTATACAAATAGTGCTCGACTCCACGTGTATTATTAAATTGTATGCCAAACTTTTTTAGGTTGTCATTCGGTTGTATTATAGCTTCAAACAATGAAGACAAAAATGGATTTTCCAATCAAATTCGAATCACCAACCGTTTAAATCAAATTCGAATCACCAACCGTTTAAATTGAGTCAAATCTGAATTAACACAATCGGTTTCATGTCTTATGTATTTCTCTGTATGAAAAAGTTCCAAGCCAGTTGGTTGAATTTGTAATCTTTTATCCTAAAAGGCATATATATATAAACCAAACTAATCTTCTTTTTGTTTTTAGGTTTGAAATTTATAATGGTTTCAAGATCACCTAATCATAGAAACATGAAAGGAGACCACCCCACTTTTAAATTGACATCATTGTATAAAAAAATAGTAATTTAAAAATAACGTAATTAAAATATAAAAAGATAAACGTTTGTGTCAAAACGGTAAAACAAACTTGAAAAACTAAAGGCCTGGGAAGGTGGGGAAAGACAATGCTATTGGGGGTTTTAGTCGGCGAAGTCATAGACGATCGGATACAGCGTCATGGGGGTGGGGGATGGCAACAATGCGCAAAAGGACGAGTGAGGATATGTATGGTGGCAGTGTACAGCTGAAGGGGAAGGGGAGGGGAAGGGTGGTAGGAGAAAGTTCGGTGTTGTGATCGCTTGATCAATGGTAAGTAGGTGATGGAGTTGGTTGCTACCAGTCACGGGAGGGAGGTCTTGTTTTTCAGTGACTTGTGTTTTATAGATCTTTGTTGTATGAATTTTGAATTTTATATTTAAAATTGAATTTTAATTAGTTTTTTAAGTTTGCAAAATAGTACTTGAAATTAGATGATTATTTTATATTTAAAGAGAATTGGATCATAAAATCAACAAAACTTAATCAATTTTAATTGATTTAATGATAGAAATTTGGACAAAATAACAATCTACTTTCATAAAACAATATTATAGCATTGTACTTTAAATTTTTCTTATTACAACAATGTTTTCTTAAACTATTTTTTATTAGGACATTGTAATTTGAAAATTTTACACATTATAGTATTGAGTAACATTTTGATTTAAATTTCCACCATTATACCATGTTTCCATGTCACTTCATTGTCCACGTAGGTTGTCCACATGTACTATAGTGATATGACTTTCTTATTATAGCATTGTACTTTCAAAATTATTTTATTATAGCATCTATTAGTTCTTATTAAACAGTGTAATTTTAATTTTAATATTTAGATATTTTACATGTTATTTATTAAATATATTAAATGAATTAAAAAAAATTCTAAATTATTCATTGATATACCAATATTAATAAAACTAGTTGAAGACAATTTATCCCGCTAATATTTTTAAAAAATATGTGTTTTTTGAAGAAAAAAAAATAAGAATTGTTCATTTTTTTACCAAAAAATATTATCTTTTAAATAATATATTATATTTGTTCAAAAACTTTTACTTGATGTATAGATATATTAAATCAATTAGATTTTTTGAATTATTTATTAATATAACAATATTTAAAAAATTTATAGATCACAATTTATTTCGTTAACATTTTAAAGAGAACTTTAAAAGATATGTATTTTTTTGAACAATATAAAATCAGAAGTGTTACCTTTTTTACAAACAAATATATCTCGAAAATAATATATCATATTTATTTAAGAAATATTTTACTCTAGAATATTTAATTTGCATGCAACTTAATAAGAAAAAGTCAAAAACATTAAATGCTTTTTTAAATCATAATAATGAAAAATGAAAATCACTAATAATAATTTAAAATAGGTTTTTATTTTTATTTTAGTTAAATCATCAAAATGATGTTTCATCGACATCACCTCATTAAAGTCACATAAGCAAAAAAGTCAAGGGATTAACCGGATTAAAAGGTAACAGGTTACCCGTTGCTATAATGTGTAGATTTTTTAAAGTGCGATGCGTTAATAAAAAATAATTTGAAAGTACATTGTTGTAAAAAAGAAAAACAAAAGCAAAATGCTATAATAAGAAAATTTATGAAAGTAAGTTGTTATTTAATGCATTTAACCCTAAAAAATTTGCAATTCCGTTCTTTAAAAATCAGAATCAGATAGGAACCGTTGAGTTCATATTTCTAGTCAAAGTTGAATCATTGTCACTTCTCACAAACATAAGATCGACCGAGAAGGGATGAAAATTGGTAAGAATAAACAATTGTAAGACATATATGAGTGGCATATGCGAAAGCAATATTCCCTATTCATCTACTGTTAATGAGTTTTCATTTTATTTTGAAATATTTTGAATTAATCGTATTGTTTTTGTAATCTTTCAAGCTAAAACAATACATATTTTCTTTATACTTATGACTGAACACTTATGATATTGAATTTAATTCACAATATATCGTTTGTATGCCTTTGTGTTTGTAAATTGAAACCATTGCAATGTAGCTTTCTTGTTGTAAGATTCCTCGATGATATTCTTGCTTAATTGGACAGTCTAATAAAACATACTACATATTATATTGTCTTGAGATGGTTGCATAAAACAAAATGTGGGTTATATCGTCTTTTTAAAAGACTTCGTTGGTGCATTATAGATTCAAAGTATTAAAAGATTATAGTCATTTTACGAATATGAAGTACAACAATGATTTGTACAACAGAGCGTGAAGCCATTTTACCTTGTGTTAGCTCTTATGCTGCTAGTTGGTGCCTCAACACGGTGATGGTCTTGAAGTGCTTTTACGATGCTTGTCGGCATGACAAGATACATGTGTGGACCTACATAGGGGCATTCGATGGACCACCAGTTCATGGTCCCGTTGTAATGGATAAAATTTATGTTTCTAAAGGGTGTTATCGTAATGTTTGGTTTTGAGTTGCCCCTATATTTGAATTAGGTTATTGACTAAAGTTTCATTTGGCTAAGTTGGTCACGTTGTCGAAATACCTTCCCTTGTTTGTTGTGAGGTCTTGGATTCGAGTCCGAACAAGGCTTGAACCATTGACCTTCATTTGCAAGTGGGGGACCAACCAACTAATCTATCACGTGTGTGTGTGTGTATATATATATATATAATTTCTTTTAGCTTTAGCAAATAGTATCACAGTTATAAAACTTTTATAGGTCCTCCTCTATCTTGATGAATAGATACGTAAACCATAGACGGGGTGAATCGATCTTAACTATCAGTTTCTCTATTTTGTACCAGCTAGCATAAATTAAGGTAAATGTAAAACAATTTTATATCCTCATCATGATTTTTATGCAATATAAGATGACTTCTTCTATAAAATAAATTTTCGACAGCATATGCTAAAAAAATACAAAATAATACAACGAACATAATTGAACAATAACAAAAGTTAAAAATTAACAATAAATTCATAAAAAAAGGGAAAACTACAAGTTGTTCGAATATGGTTAGTCCAAAAACGACATACTTTTTTTTAATCAGTTTCACATGTCTTTATTTAAATTTTTTTCCCTAAATAAGTAAGTGGTTAAAGGGTTGAAAGTTACATACACTAAAATATATTGGGTTAATAAGAAGTAATTGTTGATTTGTGTCAACTTCAATAATTTTTATGGATTTTGAGTTAATAGTTAAAAAAAACCTTGCCTTGAAGTTATCATTTATTTGAAAAACTATTAATAACTCATGTATTAAATATTATTAAAAGGGTACTCGCACAATAAAACGAGATACATCTCGATTTTAATGTTTTATTTTATTATTTTTCTATGTCGATGTTATAATACTATTTTATGTGGTTTTATGAAAAACAATAATGATTTTATTTTTGAATAAAATATAAATTTGAA